GCCATGCGAGCGGGCCAAGTCCTGCGGTGGCCGAGCGAGCGGGCCAAGTCCTCCGGTGGCCGAGCGAGCGGGCCGAGTCCCTCAGTGGCCGAGCGAGTGGGCCGAGTCCTGCGGTGGCCGAGCGTGTGGGCCGAGTCCCGCGGTGGCCGAGCGTGTGGGCCGAGTCCCGCGGTGGCCGAGCGTGTGGGCCGAGTCCCGCGGTGGCCGAGCGTGTGGGCCGAGTCCCGCGGTGGCCGAGCGTGTGGGCTGAGTCCTTCAGTGGCCGAGCTAGTGGGCCGAGTCCTTCAGTGGCCGAGCGAGCGGGCCGAGTCCCTCAGTGGCCGCGCGAGCAGGCCGAATCCTGCGGTGCTCGAGTGAGCGGGCCAATTCCTGCGGTGGCCGAGTGAGTGGGCCAAGCCCAGTGGCAGTGGCGCAGGGGGCCAGAGCCGGAGCAGCAGTTGAGTGAGTCCTGGACTGAGACCAGCACATGGAGGCAGCGTGGCCTTGTGCTCTTGGGCTGGCGAGCGCAGACTCATGCTGGAGAGGGCCTGGAACTTAAGCACTTATGGTCACTTTGATTTTCATTCTTGGCTTTTCAAACTGTTCCCACGCTAACCTATTATTTTTTAATCTGTAACAACACTTAAAGCATCTGTACCTAGGTACTCTGTACCTAAGGTGGTGCTACGAGGCAACATTTCAAACTTTTCACTCCATTCGTTCAAGGATATTCTATTCTGGCAGCTCATTCAATACATGCACCTCTGTGTGAAAATGTTACTCCTTAGGTCCCTTTTAAATCTTTCCCCTTTCACCTTAAATCTATGCCTTCTAGTTTTGGTTTCCGCTACCCTGGGTAAAAGACCTTGACTATTCACCCTATCTCTGCCCCTCATGATTTTATAAACTTCTTTGAGATCACCCCTCAGCTTCCAACACTCCAGGGAAAATAACCCCAGCCTATTCAGCCTGTCCCTATAGCAGGGAGACATGAATTGCACACAGTTTTCCAAAAGTGGCCTGACCAATTTTCTGTACAGCTGCAACATGACCTCCCAACTCATACATTGATATGACTCTGTGGAAGTCCTGACCTTTGCACATGTATGAGCTTACTGAGGAAGTTTAAACTTGCAGCGAGTAGAACTGTATTCCCTGATTCCCTCTGTGGATGAATCCAACTTGGACATTAGTGAAAGAGGCTCAGGTTTAAAGCTCTCTAGTTGGTGGAAATTTAACCTGGGGTTTTCCCAATGATTATCTCAGGCAGAGGACATGATTAACAGCTCGGATCGGTTTTTGAAAGCCATGAAGAAATACTCTTCCACCCCGACAATGCTCATCCTCCTCTCTTACACTCCCAAAAATGTTCACCATGCCACCTATATTTTCAAATGCAGTTTAACTCGACAATGTTCTCTCCCCTGCCCCACACTCTACCTAACAATATAAACAGAAAGTGCTGGAGAAACTCAGCAGGTCTGGCAGAATTGGTGGAGAGAGAAACAAAGTTAGCCGTTTGGCATCTGATCAACTCTTCTTCAGAATTGAATTTGATTCATTGAAGCAGATTTCCTGATATGCTCATGTTTTCCAGGATTGTATCCCACAATTATTCCGAAGCCTATGTGCTAACTCATATTAGAACTAACCGCATAGCGTGAGAGAGATTGATAACGCAGCAGAAAACTATTGAGGTTAACTTACATGTGACATGGTCAATGAGATAAACTTTTATTTTTAAATGCTCCTTAACAGAATGTTACTTTGAGTGACTAAGACATTCCTGCTCACTAAATACAAGACCTGGCGTGCATGAGAATGCATATTTCTTCACCACTATCAAATTTGACAGATGGCTGATGCAGGATTGTACATGCTGAAAGGAAACATTTGAAGTCAATGGGCCGTGATTTTCCAACGCCTCAGAAATAAGGATGGGGAGGGCCCAAAAAAGTGAATGGAGGGGCATCATCCTCGATCTCCGATGCTACTACCCCAGACTGCAAGTGAAATGTAAACAGTGCGAACTTTTGGAAGAACAGAAACTGAGACCTCGTTGAGGTCCTCCAGGACTCAGGAAGACTTGCTTCCATTGCTGCTTGAAGTGTTCTGAGAAGGCTGGTAAGTCCAATGCTTGACCCATAGACTCCATCACATGGGATCCACTTGTACTCATGGGATGGGGTAGATGAGTTATTTGGAGAGTTTACACACTCATTATCTACTCCAAGTTTTTCAATACTTCTAATTTCTGAACCATCCCCAAATTATGAAATTGTGTCCTGTACACCCAAGTCCAGGTCACAAAAGTATATATTTTTAAAAAGAACGCAGATCAATTCCTCAGTCAGAAAAGCAATTACACACGACTGCTCTGTTTAGTGCACTCAGAAACTTTGTATCCATGCTGCCTGATTCTGTCCCTGTTATTCTAGGAGTTTGAACTAGTAAGCCTGTTACAAGGCTCTTTCCAAACACCTTTTGGAAGTTCATGTACATTACATCAACTGCATACCTCATCAGTGAAGTTAGTTCAACATAATTTACCTTCAACAAATCCATGCTGGATTTCCCTACTTAATCGACATCTGTCTGTGTGACTACTAATTTGTCATGTATTACCGATTCTAAAATCTTTCCCACCTCTGAAGTTAAACTGAGTGGATGTTAGTTCCTGGGTTTATACTTACATTCTTCTTTAACAATATTTACAAGCTTAACAGACTTAATACAGAGGCTTTTTTTGTTTGAAAGACACAAGAAGTAAATGTGTTGTGAAACTAGAAATGGTTCAGAAAAGATTTACGAGGTTGTTGCCATTGTTGGAGGATTTGAGCTATAGGGAGAGGGTAAATAGGTTGGGGCTGTTTTCCCTTGAGTGTCAGAGGCTTAGGGATGACCTTATAGAGACCAGGAACAATGTTAATTAACACAAACAAAAACAAAGTTGCTGGAAAAGCTCAGCAGGTCTGGCAGCATCTGGGAAGGAAAAAAGCAGAGTTAACGTTTCGGGTCCGGTGACCCTTCCTTGGAGTTCCCCTTGAGTTCCGAGGAAGGGTCACCGGACCCAAAACGTTAACTCTGTTTTTTCCTTCACAGATGCTGCCAGACCTGCTGAGCTTTTCCAGCAACTTTGTTTTTGTTCCTGATTTACAGCATCCGCAGTTCTTTCGGTTTTTATTGACTAACACAAAAACTAGGGAAGGAATGTGTGGTCAGCATTTTATTGGGAATAGGGTCGAGAGAACAGGGAGTGTAACTCACGAACATGATCTCAAAGAGGGCATGGGTAGACAAGGAAGCTCAAAGAAATAAGTTCAGGGTGAGGGCAGGGGACCATCTTGGAGGAAGTTTAACTTGTTGGACTAGGTGAATGAAGGGAAGTGCTAAAGTTGTTTGATGAAATGATCTCTAACAGTCCTTTAACTCTTTTACAGAGGTTCCCCAATGAATGAGCCTCAGGTTCCCCATTGATTGAGCCTCA